AGCCAACAGTCATTCTGGCTCCCTCTTATGGCCGATCGAGGAAAACAGCAACCAATCACATTTTACAGTACGATTTAAAGAAACAAGTATAGCATTGTTACATGATTTATATATTGCCAACCCAACCGTTAGATTATATTCCTAACATGCAGCACGCACGCACACAGTGCACACATGCATCTTAGCACTTCCGTGATGCTCCAGCTCCTCCATGGAGCATCGCGCGGGTGCTGTACATGCCATGCACGTGCAAGGAAGCGCGGAAGCCTTAAAAGACAGGCAAGGAGCTTGGGTGGGTGGGTGGACCCTCCAGAGCACCATACCGGAGCAATATCTGGTGCTCCAGGCAGGCTCCAGTATGCCTGTACCGGGGCGTACTGCCTGCAACCCACCACTGATATAGATGCATATGACAATGGAACTGAGCCACAGTCAACCAAATGGGATCTTCATGGTTACAGGAGCTGTAGTGGCATAGTGGTTAGAATGCAATATTGCAGGCTAACTCTGCCCACAGCTAGGAGTTTGATCCTGATTGGCTCAAGGTTGATTCAGCCTTCTATCCTTTTGAGGTTGGTAAAATGAGAACCCAGATTGTTGTGGGCAATATGGTGACATTTGTAAACCACTCAGAGAATGCTGTAAAGCACAATGGAGTGGTAAACAAGTCTGAGTGCTATTGCTATTGCTACAGACATCCTACTTATTGTGGGGAAAATATTAGCATTATTTTACATCTGTTGGGCATGTGAGGCTCTGAGGTTTGATCCATTAAAACAATTCTTAGGTCTTCCTGACACTTAGAGCCAATGAGTGAGTGCATAATTCTTCTCTGGCTTGCAAGAAAGTGAGACACTACATCTGAATCTTAACAAAATCCCCCTCCTTTTATTCAGGGAATAGAGAAAGTGAGATCATTAAATATCTATAAAGGACAATATTTATAACTCAGCACTGATGATGTTACCTAGTTTGAATAATAAAATGTCTTCAAGAAAACAACAAAGCTTAGAAAGCATTAAGGACTCTCATTTTAACCTTGAGCTACAAATATACCGTATTTTCACCCATATAACCCGCGGGTTATATG